TGGGCGGCCCCTGCCTGGGCGCACGGCGCAGATGCAGTGCCAGCCCTGGGCACGTGGGCGGCTCCTGCCTGGGCCTGCAGCGCATGGGTGGCCCCTGCCCCGGGCATGCGGCACATGTGCAATGCCAGCCCCGGGCGCATGGCGCATGGGTGGCCCCACCCCAGGGCGTGCAGCGCATGAGTGGCCCCGCCCCTGGACACCCGGCGCGTATGTGGCCCCGCCCCTGGATACCCGGCAGCCCCAAAAGGTTGGGGACCACTGGTCTAGGAGATGACTCTATGGTAGGAACTGCCCATGCATGCTGGCTAGCCTCATGGCTGTGTGGATGGGACACACTGCTACTAAAGTTCTTCAATCAGCAGCACAAGGACGCAGACACACACATAGTAGAGCACCCACAGGGACACTACTAAAAAATGAATCAACAGAACTATCATAGGGAGCTCAGCTCACCCTTTCATAAATGATGCTGGTTCCATCACTATTCATCTAGCAGGAACCCCAGCCCACTTTATCAGGGAAGTCACTACTTGCTTATCTCTTGCCAGGGAGCTTCATAAAAGAAAAAAAGGGATTACTTTCCTTCCATGACACTGATCTCTAAATGGATTGCCTTCACAGAGTCATACTGACCTATCTCCTTAGTTTGGTTTCATAGCTCAATTACAAATAGGACTTCTGGAGATATAGGATCCAAGGAACTGTTCTTAGGGATGACTTATTTATACCTTTGGCCTGGGAAGAGAGGACATGGAGCATGGGTCTGCAAACATCATTGCTATTTTCAAAAGATTCGAAGGCCATTTGAATCCCACAGTGGGGATCTGCCAGTCATTCTCCACTCTGTTATGTATTTGTCACCTTTAATTTCACTTCAGTTATTTACATGGGAGTTAACCAGGGGCTAGTCCAGTCCAGTTTTAAGTGTCCCCAAAAGCTGAAGAGCCCAACACTTTCAGTGAGAGACTGATCCATAACATCTCCCTGTTAGGAAACTTTCCCTGAAATTCAAGTTAACTATTCCCCACTTTCATCTCACAGTTAGCAAACACTTCTCCTGCAGCCCTAACTCACACCATAGTATTCTTAGTCAAGATCCATGCATGAAAGTATAAGCACTAATTCCCCCTCCCCCCCCTCTTAATTTCTGGCTGTGATGAACCCCATACATCTGGAGGTTCTGTTCAGTTAAGCTGCCCAAAATGTGGATGTTTGTCTAAAAGATTTTGCAAATCTTTGAGCTTGCAAAGTTGAGCATGAAATGTCCCTTCCCTAACAGCACTGCTGAAAGTTGGATCACTCGGTTAATTACTGTAACTTCCTTCCAGACCACAGACATGCCCATCATCCAAATTCTCCTGACACACAAATCTAGCTACAGGAAAAACTAAGATGAAGATCTAAAAAAATATAGACTTAATCCCCCTACTCTGTTCTATAGACCGCAAGCTGCTGCTCCCTGAAGGGACAGGGGGTCAAACCTCAGGAACTATGCCTCCTTCCAGCATCTTACAGTTCTGAACTTCTGACAAGTGTGATTGGACAAAATATTTCACAGAACACTCTTGGTTCATTCACATTAAGACTTCTAGATTATAGTGCAGATGGACAAAAGCAGCACTGTACAGTATAGCTCTGGTTTGCAGAAAATTGATATTCTGCTTTGTCTACATACAATGCTCATTTAAATGAAAACAAACATCCTGTTTTTGCAGTGAAGGAGCCAGATTATTCTTCTGGTCCCTCAACACCTCGTCCCATCCTCTCCCCCCCTCCCCACCCCACTTAAAAAAAATTGGCTTAAAATATAAAAACTAAAATAATTTTAGAGAGTTTTTTTTATTGATGTGAGAAGATGATTATGGCCACATCTTTGCTGTAACAACAAGCAATTCCCTAGATTTAGCCCCTCTCTCTTTCCATTTTTGGTTTCGTGTGTCAGCATCATCCTTCCAGAGGAACACCACACCTTTAATTATGCAGACATATGAAGCAGCCCCCAACTTCTCCCCAGAGCCAGAATATATTCTCAGCCTAGAAAGTGACATGTATGGGTAATTCATTTTCTTCCAATATGCTATCCTTGAGGCAATAGAAAGGGGTAAATAATAGATGGTAGAACTCCCTTATAGTGAAAAGAAAAATATGCTAATATATGTTGGCTTGATTTGAGTCTTTCTTTAACTTTTTTGTCAAGTGCCTAGAATAAGTATTTTGTTAAAAACCTTTAATAAATTATGTGCATACAAATTATAATAAAATACACACACGCTCTCTCCCTGTCACTATTACATCTTCCTCAAGCATTTCCATACTGCTTTAGGCTATCAATTGTTCTATCAGATCTGATATTTCATTCCTAAATAACAGGCACTATTTTGATTCAGAGGAAGATCCAACTGCATAATGTATATACTCTAGTTCTACACTGCTGTACATGTAAGAAACAATTATTTCCTTTGTGATTACTGTTTACTATGTGAAGAACGTGCCCATGACTTAAAAATTTGGAGTGAAATCCTGGTTCCACTGAAGTCAATGGAAGTTTAGCTATTGATTTCAGTGAGGCCAGGATTTCACCTACAGTTTGATGTTAATTTTGCTGAAAAACAGAAATACACACTTAGATAAAACAATGATGCAGAAACAGCATGGGAAAATTGCAAATATTATCACTAAAGTTACAGGTATAGGAAACTTGCTTGGGCATTCATTTACTTTCGCAATATAACTGATGTTCACTTTTCAGAATAACTATTGCAGAATGCATACAACAGCTACTGTGCTGCTATGTCCATCGAATGCATGCACTGGAATGTATGTACAGGCAGTCCCCGGGTTACGTACAAGATAGGGACTGTAGGTTTGTTCTTAAGTTGAATCTGTATGTAAGTCAGAACTTGCATCCAGATTCAGCCGCGGTTGAAACTGATCAGTTTCAGCAGCGGGTGACGCCAGTTCCGACTTACATACAGATTCAACTTAAGAACAAACCTACAGTCCCTATCTTGTACGTAACCCGGGGACTGCCTGTACATACATTCCAGTGCATGCATTCGATGGACATAGCAGCACAGTAGCTGTTGTATGCATTCTGCAATAGTTATTCTGAAAAGTGAACATCAGTTATATTGCGAAAGTAAATGAATGCCCAAGCAAGTTTCCTATACCTGTAACTTTAGTGATAATATTTGCAATTTTCCCATGCTGTTTCTGCATCATTGTTTTATCTAAGTGTGTATTTCTGTTTTTCAGCAAAATTAACATCAAACTGTAGGTGAAATCCTGGCCTCACTGAAATCAATAGCTAAACTTCCATTGACTTCAGTGGAACCAGGATTTCACTCCAAATTTTTAAGTCATGGGCACGTTCTTCACATAGTAAACAGTAATCACAAAGGAAATAATTGTTTCTTACATGTACAGCAGTGTAGAACTAGAGTATATACATTATGCAGTTGGATCTTCCTCTGAATCAAAATAGTGCCTGTTATTTAGGAATGAAATATCAGATCTGATAGAACAATTGATAGCCTAAAGCAGTATGGAAATGCTTGAGGAAGATGTAATAGTGACAGGGAGAGAGCGTGTGTGTATTTTATTATAATTTGTTCTGCTGGTCGGGAGACGGGGAGCAAAGCCGCGGAGCACGCCTGCAGGGGGACAGCTCAAGCGCACCCGGGCTGTCCTGCTGCGGGCGTGCTCCAAGGCTTTGCTCCCCATCTCCCTGCAGACCAGGGAGACGGGGAGCAGCTTTTCTTGCCCCGGAGGACGGGGGCGGCGGACCGCGGCGCATCTGGGTGTCCTGCCGCTCCCATCCTCCGGGGCAAAAAAAGCCCTGTTCGTAACTGCGGATCCGCGTAACTCGGGGACTGCCTGTATGAGAACCCTGGAGAACTGAAGTCTTCAGGCAGACAGAGCTGCCAAAATTTCTCAGATAGGACAGACATTCAAAAATAGAAACTCTTTTTACCTGAGAAGTGTGTAAATGGAACTGGATTCAGATTAAAGTGTGTCTACTGAAATTAAATGAGATTGTGCCTAACTTTTAAGGAATAAACGCCTGCATCTTGGAGTCATGGTTATTCATGCAATATATGTTCACTGGGAAACTAACCAGTATTGCTACTTAGAATTAATGATATTTTATATCCAATCTGCAGTTTCAGAAATTCTAGCTCCTTGGCCTACATATTACATTGGACAAGGTGAGCAAGGCACTGAGAGCAGTTTTACACATGTTAGTTTCCCATGGGAAACACAGAACAAGTTTCTTATTTGAATTTCATTCATTGAACAATCTAGTACTTGTTTGGATTCTCAAGTTCCACAGTTCAATGCAAAGGGAAGAGGAGTTTTGCTTTTATTAAAATAAATAGTATAGTGTTCTATGTTATGGGAACAAAGCTTTACAAAATCTCTGAGGCTATGTCTACACTGCAGGCTTCTTATGCAAGAACTTTTTGTGCAAGAGTTCTTGCACAAGAGCGAATACACACTACCACGTGCTTTTGCGCAAGAGCGTCTATGGCAGTGGGGATGCTGTTTTGCGCAAGAAAGCTCTGATGGCCATGTTAGCAATAGGGGTTTGTTGCCCGTCCGCACTGCTTTCCTGCTCTAGAGCTCTTGTGCAAGAGGCCTTATTCCTCATGGGGGCTTATTCCTCGTGGGGCGAGGAATAACTCTTCTGCAAGAAGCCCTCTCTTCTGATGCTTTACTGTACATTTACGTGCGCAAGAACATACATGCAGTGTAGTCGCTCCACAAAGTTTTGCGGTGTAGACGTAACCTGAGGTTCTGGGTTGCAGGCTCTGGGGTTCTGGGCCATCATCGTAGGATGCAGAGATTAAAGAGGTACATCCAGTATTTTTTCTTCAGATAAATGTATTTTTCCAGTAGGTGTCCAGGGGAATCTTGAGTTTCTTCTTTGTCCCCTTTTAGACATGACTGAAAAATATCAGGAGAGACAATACTAACAGGACTGTTTATTCTGTTTCTAGGTATTTGAATAAGGTTACACATTATGGTCTTTGCTGCAGAGTACCCATTTTTTTAAAAAAAATGATGCTACCAACTGTGAAGGAAATAAAAAAGAAAAATCACATCACAGCCTGGGGAAGGATGTATGCAGGTGCCAGCTGGTCCCCAAGTTGGTGAGCATGAAAACTCTGTGGGGTCCTCTTCTTCACTTCATCTGATTCATTAAACCCTAAAGGCAATAGATTTTACTCAGCCAAGGGCGCAAAAGGTGAAAAAAATTGAAGCACAAAGCATGCTGGGTTTTAGTTTTGCCATGACACATTATGCAGAAACAGCACATAATAGAGGATGAGTCACAAGCTTTATGATGGGGGGCGAGGGGAGGGGGGAGGAGGATTGGAGGAATTTAACCCAGATTGCTCCAATTCCCCATACATATAAACTATGAAATGACAGAACCAAAAAATGCTGGGCAATTTTACACATAGTTGGCAAACGGGTAATGCAATAATGTTTCACTCATATTTAGCTGCCTGTTTAGAGAAAAGGTATAATCACTACACTTGGGAAAACTATTAATTCACTCAGCTTAACTACTTTTTCTGTTTCCCAAATTTTCTACAGGTTTCAGTTTTTAAAGATGAATTTGGTTGATGCAAATGTATTTCAGTCCATGGATTGCCCAAAAGTTATTATTTTGAGCATCTACTCGCCATAATTTGCTATTCACACTATGTGACTGGTTACTCAAAATTACATAGTATTTTTTTGTTTCCTGCTTGGATGATGCCCAAACAATATCTCACTGAGAATTGTGATACAGAAAGGCCAGAGAGCAGCAGAATGGGAGAGGGGAGATGTATAAGTCCTAGGCTTATTAAGGCATGATTTTTCTGTTGACTAGGAAAGGCTACTACAGGCTAACTGAAGCATCTATAGTTAAGTCAATCCCTATCAGGAACATAATAAACTTCCCTGCTTCAGGCAGACAGGATGGAGCAAGGAAGGAGAGAGGACTGGAGTTTGGAGGTATGTTGCTGAAAGATCAGAAAACTGGAGGAAGGAAGACTCCCTCCTCCAGCATCAAGGAGCAAGGGTAACCCTACTTCGGTGGGGGAGGGGGGACACCTATAAGAGTTGAGAGAGGCTATGGCTCAGACCCAGATCCCTTCCCTACTCCCCCCTCTCCCTCAGTGGGGTCTGAGTGCACAGTGCCCAATAATAGGGGCAAGGGTCACTTCCCTGACCCATGTCAGCAGCGGGAAGCAAGGGATCCACCACAGTAATGCATTTGCCAAAGAATGTAAAGGAGGGATACTGTGGTTATTTCTTACCTCCATGTCAATGAATAGGAAAGACAACCCCAGAATCTAACTAGTTTTACACTAACTGGCTCTAAGTCCAGAATGCACTCTCCTCCTGGTATCCAATATAAATAACCCCACTCCTATTTAATCCTCTCCTTTCATTCCCATGACCATGAAGGGTCATATCCTGATGCTAATTTATAGGAGAAAGAAAAGTGGCAGCAATCAGAGAATACCAACAATCCGCACAAAGGCACAGAGGCAGCCCAGGGGCAGGTTCTGGCATTAAGGCTTCATCTATGCAGATGCCTGGTGCTGGATCTTGCCACTGATCTCTAATTCATTTGAGGGAAGCAGACAGTGGGCTAACTGGGGTAATACATCTGAAATCTGAAAGGGTATTTCAACCCAATAAAAGTGGAAAGCCAGCCCAAAGGCCTTGTCTATATTCCAGACTAGCTATTCCTGACTAACTTCATGTGTGGAAGCTTTTCTTTTGGAATAAGATATTGTTACTCCTATAATACATCTATCAGAACCATGCAAGAATGATGGAAGATCAGTGAGGTGCAAGTCAGCACATTCACCCAGAAAGTTAATCAGGAATAGTAAATTCACTTTAAATTCAATTCCAGTCTTAATCTAGATTAAATTTCCTTTGTAGACAAGCCCTAACAGAATGAAGTAATCTTGGGCAGCTGAATTACAATATGGGAAGTACGATGACTGTGGGAAAGTCAGCAGGCCCACAGCAGCTATCACCAGTTAGAATGGATAAAATTTAAAGACAAGAAAATCTTTCTTTCGGGGCATCAGCAAGAAGAAATCCCCACCATCGTAACAGAATTACACAATCAGGTGCACTGAAATGTTTACACACTTCAGCACTAACTAGCTGGTCCACTGTTTTATTCCTATACAGCCGTGGTTCTGAGACACAAAAAGCTAGGGATGTAAAGGCATGCTTACTGGAGTAACCAATTAACTGGCACCTGGCCCCACTGGAGCAGCCCCTGCCCATGGCACAATGCAGTGAGCCCTGCCTGCCTGGCTGGATTAGCCTCCTGCCCATGCTGGGCCCAGCCATATTGGAGCAGCTGCTGCCGGCTGGTTAACTGATTAAACATATAGTATAACCAGTTAACATTGTAAACAGGATTTTACAATCCTATAATCAGCACGTAGCTGCATCCCATCTGATATCCTCCAGGTCATATAGGTAGTATTATTTAGGACCCACATTGGTAAATACGTCGAGAGCCACTGCTATGCAGCATCTCCTAGGTTTCTAATATCACTCATATTTTTTAAAAAATAGCCTTTTTGTTATTATTTCAGTTCATCTCAGTGAAGTAATTCTGTGCCTTTGGAAGGCCACGTATCTGACCTGAATACTGATAGGTTAAGAGGTTTGTTCACAGAGCGTTCTGTAATTATTAGAGTGAATTCTCTGGCCAGTTGCTTCCTCTTCCCCATTATATCTCTTTTAAAAAACAGCTGCTGAATCCCTTTGGCTCTACTTGCTTTTCTGATGTATGGCTATGTTTCTCCCACTCTACATATAAAGCAGGAAAGGTATTTTGTGCAGCGAGTGGGGATTTCGCTGCATGACCCCTATTAACAATAATGGCTGCCTGGAAAAATCCCTTCACCAAGAGGGTACTCTACAACATGTTTTATATATAATTTATACAGTATACTGTAGTTAAATAATACATCTATCAGAACCATGCAAGAATGATGGGAGATTAGTGAGGTGCAAATCAGGATGTTGTCTTGCTGTTATAACTAGTTTGTGAAGGCAAACTGGTCAATAATCTGAACCATGGGGCATTCTTAAACACAGACCTACCTCATAGATATTTAAAGTAAGCATGAAAGTACAATCTATTTATCAACCTTGATGCAGTAGCATCACTTTAAAAGTGTAGCAAACCCACAAGAACATGCATTGCAGGACACACTAAGATTCTTGACCCCTTCCCCCCATCTCCACACCCTTTTTGCTTTCATCATTCAAAGAGCATTTTTAGGAGGAATATAAATGTTGAAAGGTCCAGAATGAGCTATGATGAACTCCCAGGCTCAGGCCCTGTTACCCTGCAGTATCTCCCCCAGTTGCCATTTTGGATTGCCTCCTTTTGAACTGAGATTCTGCCCATTGCTTTTGCAGATTTATTTTAGTTTTTAAGTGCACTTTTGGACATTGCCCATGCTCAAAGAGCCAATTCAAATGAAGGGAAACTTTTAATGTTGCAGAGTGCGGTTAAGAGATTTAGATGCTACGTGGTAAGTCTTGCAAGATTCTGCATGCATATCTGACTTAGAAATAGCACAGTGAATGCCGAAAGATATAGTCTTAAATGTCTTACAGAGTTTCCACTGAAGAAACAAACAAACAAAAAAAAACCACTAAAATGTCTTACAGAGTTTCCACTGAAGAAACAAAAATAAAAATAAAAATAAAACACTCAGGCTGGGATGCACTAAGAAAAGCAAAGGAAATCAAAATGGGCCCCATTGAGCCTGGGCGCTACCAGCTTCAGACCTGCATGGGAGGCTATGTTGCACAGATGACACTACAAAAAAGGAGTTGTTGATGGAGCCTTAACTTTGAATTTAATTCCTTTTGTGGGTTCATATTTTAGTAAGATGCAGTAACAGGACAATAAAAAGATTTTAGAAAAAAATGCAGTTTTAGATGAGCACACGTAGGGCACATCTGTCCACACAGCAAAAAAAGACCCAAGGTAGCAAGCCTCAGAGCCTAAGTCAACTGACTCCGGCCTACAGGGCTCATGCTGCGGGGTTAAAAATAGTGCAGTTGTTTGGGCTCGGGCCGGAGCTCCGGCTCTGTAATATTGTGAGGGGGGAAAATCTCTTGGCCTGGGCTCCACTCCAGACATCTATACTGCTATTTTTAATCCCGTGCAGTAGCCTGAGTCAGTTGACCCTGGATGCCAGTGGGCTTTTCCCGGTTGTTTATTTTTTGCTTTGTAGATGTACCCTCAGGCTTGCTAAACAAAACAAAAAAAACCCCCCAAAAAACTTTAGGATAATGGATGCATGTGGGCTAACCCAAACAAAAGAACACCCCCCCGCCCTCAAGGCAGGATCAAGCTCTGTCTACACCATCCCTGACAGATGTCTATCTAACCTGTTCTTAAATATCTCCAGAGAGGGAGATTCCACCACCTCCCTTGGCAATTTATTCCAATATTTGACCACCCTGACAGTTAGGAATTTTTTCCTAATGTCCAATCTAAACCTCCCCTGCTGCACTTTAAGCCCATTACTCCTTGTCCTGTCCTCAGAAACCAAGAGGAACAAATTTTCTCCTTCCTCCTTGTGACACCCTTTTAGATATTTGAAAACCGCTATCATGTCCCCCCTTAATCTTCTTTTTTCCAAACTAAACAAGCCCAGTTCATGAAGCCTGGCTTCATAGGTCATGTTCTCTAGACCTTTAATCATTCTTGTTGCTCTTCTCTGTACCCTTTCCAATTTCTCCACATCTTTCTTGAAATGTGGCGCCCAGAACTGGACACAGTACTCCAGCTGAGGCCTAACTAGTGCAGAGTAGAGCGGCAGAATGACTTCACGAGTTTTGCTTACAACACACCTGTTGATACAACCTAGAATCATATTTGCTTTTTTTGCAACAGCATCACACTGTTGACTCATATTCAACTTGTGGTCCACTATGACCCCTAGATCCCTTTCTGCCATGCTCCTTCCTAGACAGTCGCTTCCCATCTTGTATGTA